CAAGCAAAGGAGCTGAGGGAGATAAGATTTCAACTAAAGACAAGGAAACTAAAGCTAAGGCAAAGGCAAGTGTGTTCGCATCAACCAAAGCGGAGGCAGAGACATCTAGTGATGTGGTGACAAGTACCGTACTAGTACACTCTATGCATGCATATGTATTGTTTGATTGTGGTGCATCTCATTCATTTGTGTCTAAGAAGTTTGCTAAGTGTGTTAATATGCGACCCTAGACTATGAAAAATGCCTTAAGAGTTTCTACACCTGGAGGAGAAATACTAACCTCTACCCTAACACATGAGAAATGCCCTATAAACATTAATGGAATAAGTCTTGAAGGCAACCTACTGCAGCTCACAATGCATGATTTTGATGTAATTCTTGTAATAGATTGGTTGTCAAAATACCATGCTAAGATAGATTGTAAGCCACGGAAGGTAGAATTTTCATACCCTAGGGTAGGGGAATGTGAGTTCCTAGGCGGTGAGGTACGTAACCTGAGAGTTCCAATAATCTCAGCAATGAGAGCAAGTAAGATGTTACATAAGAGATGTGAAGGATATGTGGTGAGTGTGATTGAGAAGCCAAACAGCAAACCTGAAATAAATGACATCCTGATAGTTCAAGAATTCGAAGACATCTTTCCTGAAATAATACCTAGAATACCTCTTGAAAGAGAAATAGATTTTGAAATCCTTCTACAACCCGATGCTCAACCTATATCAAAAGCACCCAACCGAATGGCCCCACTAGAACTGCAAGAACTAAAGAAACAAATCCAGGAGCTACAATAGCTAAAGTTCATTAAGCCTAGTGTATCACCATGGGGAGCACCAGTGTTCTTTGTTAAGAAGAAAGATGAGAGTCTAAGGATGTGTATTGACTATTGAGAAATCAACAAGATCACCATCAAGAACAAGTACCCCCTTCCAAGAATAGATGACCTCTTCGATCAACTAAGGAATGCAAAAGTCTTCTCCAAGATAGATTTGAGGTCTGGCTATCACCAGCTATGGATTAAGCCAAAAGATATACCCAAGAGTCCCTTCCGCACTAGGTATGGTCACTATGAGTTTGTGGTGATGCCTTTTGGATTAACCAATGCACCAGCTCCCTTTATGGACTTAATGCATCGAGTAATGAGGAATTATTTAGATAGGTTTGTGGTAGTTTTCATTGATGATATCCTCATATATTCCCCTGATAAAGAGTCCCATGAAGAACATTTAAAACAAGTCCTGGAAACCTTGAGAAAGGAAAAGCTTTATGCTAAATTTGGCAAGTGCGAATTTTGGTTAAGCAGCGTAAGTTTCCTCGGACACACTATCTCAGGGGAAGGTGTGTCTGTCGACCCCGCTAAGATAGAGGCAATCACAAATTGGCCTCGACCTAGCAATGCAACTGAATTGCAAAGCTTTCTTGGACTTGCTGGGTAGTATCAAAAGTTTGTGGAGAACTTTTCAAAGATAGCCGTACCTCTTACCAAGTTGACGCAGAAGAGAGCAAAATTTGAATGGACCCCTGCTTGGGAGAAGAGTTTCCAAGAATTGAAGAATCGGCTAGTGTCAGCGTCTGTACTAACGTTGCCGAATGAAGAATAGGGATACACAATATACAGTGATGCCTCCAAGAATGGATTAGGATGTGTGTTGATGCAGAATGAGAGAGTCATAGTATATGCCTCGAGACAGCTAAAACCTTATGAGCCGAACTATCCCACCCATGACTTAGAATTAGCTGCAGTGGTCTTTGCCCTAAAGATTTGGAGGCACTATCTCCATGGAGTCACTTGTGAAGTATGCACTAACCACAAGAGTTTGAAGTATCTTTTCACTCAAAAACAACTAAACATGAGGCAGAGAAGGTGGCTAGAATTGGTTAAGGACTATGATCTTGATATAAAATACGACCCTGAAAAGACTTAAAAGTAGCTGATACTTTGAGCCGGAAAGGAACAGGAAATCTAGCTCTAATGCTAGTCAAGCAAATGGAAGAATTAAGACTTGAGCAAGTAGAATCAATGGAAGGAGTCTTGGCTACTTTAACCTTACAACCGACCTTGTTAGAAAAGATGAAGGAAAGGTAGGGTGATGATGCCTTCATACTGGAGTTGAAGGAAAAGGTGAAGGAAGGAAAGCTACCAGGGTTCGAAGTAATGGGAGATGATAAACTATGGAAAGGTAGACGTATATGTGTGCCAAAAGACTTGGAATTGATAAATGAGATTTTAAAGGAGGCACATAGTACAAAACTTTCCATCCACCTAGGAGCAAATAAAATGTATAAGGATCTGAAGGAGTTGTATTGGTGGAGGGGAATGAAGCAAGATGTAGCCAAGTATGTTGCTAAGTGCCAAACCTGTCAATGAGTAAAGGCGGAGCATCAATTCCAGGAGGTTTATTACAACCACTAGAAATACCCATATGGAAATAGGAAAAATAACAATGGACTTCGTGGTAGGATTGCCAAGGACTAAGAATGGCAATGATGCAATATGTGTAATAGTGGATCGGTTAACCAAATCTGCACATTTTCTCCAAATTCGTTTTGGGATATCTAGGGATAAATTAGTGCAGTTGTATATCAAGGAGATTGTTAGATTACATGGCATACTAGTTAGTATTGTCTCTGATCGAGACCCAAGGTTCACTTCTAAATTTTGGAAGGAGTTCCAAAGGCAACTTGAAACAAAAGTTAATCTTAGCACTGCTTATCATCCTCAAACTGATGGGCAAAGTGAGAGGACTATCCAAACCCTTGAAGATATGATGAGAGCATGTGCCATGGAGTTCAAAGGAAGTTGGGATGAATACGTAGCACTAATAGAATTCTCCTACAACAATAACTATCATAGTAGCATCGGAATGACACCATGTGAAGCTTTGTATGGTCGAAAGTGTAGATCGCCACTATATTGGGATGAAGTTGGAGTAAAGTATATCATAGGACCAGAGTTGTTACAGGTAGCCAAAGATAAAGTATCAGTGATACGAGAGAAATTCAAGGCAGCCCAAGATCGACATAAAAGTTGGGCAGATTTGAAAAGGCGGCCTCTAGAATTTGAAGTGGGAGATAAGGTGTTCCTCAAAGTATCCCCAACTAAAGGAGTCATATGGTTTGGGAAGCGGGGAGAATTGAACCCAAGATTCATTGGGCCCTATGAAGTCTTGGAAAAAATTGGTAACTTAGCTTACCGATTGGCTCTCCCGCCACAACTAGGAGTGCACAATGTGCTCCATGTGTCGCAACTTTGTAAGTGTGTCCATGACCCGGACCAAATCTTGGTGCCATAGAGTCTTAAGCCATTGCTACTGTAGAACAATCAAGCTCTGAAGCTTCACAGAAGGTGGAATCTCCTGTTGTTGTCGTCGCTGGAGCTTTTAGAGGGATTGGCAAAGCAATCGCATTGAGTTGGGTGTAACGTTCTGGTTAATTTTGCAAGGTCATCAAAGGAAGTTGAGGAAGTTTGCAAGGAGATTGAGGCGTGGTCAGGACCTCCCTCCTGAGTTAAGCTGACTGAATGCTCTTGATTCGAGCTTGGTGCATGCCATACTATGCAATTTTTTGTTATGTTACATTTTACATAACAAAACCGTGCTTTTTAAAGCGTGAGTTTAACAAAACCGTTGCTTTTTAAAGCGTGAGTTTCTACTTGTAAAGATGCCTGGATCCCAACCTTTTGGTAAAAACTGGAACTGCAATCTTACTTCTTTGAATGAATTGGTGCTCCCCGAAAAAAAAAAAAAAAAAAAAAAACAGACAGAGTAGCATATGATTATTTTGCTTTAATACCTGCTGTCACATGACTATATTGCTTTTCCCTTTTTTCATCAATGAATCTAAATGTATTTTTTTTTTTTTTTTTTTGTAAAAGAATCTAAATGTAGTTATTACCTCACTTTGGAATTTTTCTCTGCATAATGCGGCCTTCATCTTTCCCTTTTATACTGAATGGATGTAAAAATCATGTATGCATGCAGCTGTTAACTTTATAGTAGAAAGTTAATCTGTTCTTTGTTTCCATAATTTAGTATGCCTTGAATTGAATACCGACGAGCAGGGAGTAATTTTGCATACAAGTAACATGTAACAGTTATCAGCATAAGCCAAAAAAGTACTTTGAGGACTGAAGTGCTTATACCTTAAGTTTGCTTTTAATTACTCTTATTATTTATTGCCTCCTAATGGGTTTAGATGCTAGCAACGAAATAAATGATTTTATGATTAAAGATAACTTTAAGACTTTTTTTCTTTTCTCAAATAGGATAGAAACCCATTTTTATTTTTTAGAAGCTTAAGGTTGGCAATGAGTTCTTATTTTAAGCCAAGACGTCCAGATGGCTGAGAGTTCCTCTAATGCCGCTGATTTTAGAGGATGTGTTCAAGGATACAAAACTTTGGAACGCGATTTTGAAACAAAATAGACGACTTCGCAACTGACTGATAGACACAATTTCACTTTTTTAGAAAACAACAATAGATTCATATTAATTCATTTAGTTAATACACAATTATAATTACTACAATTTACTATTATCACAATATACAATTGGCTGAATAGACATTTTTATAACACTAACTTGAAAGTAAACACTAATTTTTTACAAAAATAAAAATTAATAATCTACATTATTAATAGAATGCGTCGCGGATGCTAGGCACCAGTAGATGTTAAATATATACTTCATTCACAAAAATAATAAATAAACACAAAAAAGAAGGGCAAAAGTTCACCATTGAACTGCTTGCGCAGGAGGAAGTCTACGTAGCATATTGTTGAACTGAAACCCTAGGTTCTAATATCAGTACAAAGGAAATTGCATAATCAAGAATCAAATTATCAAACTTGACTGCGAAGGAATAAATTATACAGCTGAATGTAAAAAGCAAACTTGAAACTAGAAACAACAGCATAAATTCAACCATCATAAATCCTACTCAGACTCCAATCGGAAAAAGTTTACAGATCTCCTGATTATGAGCTAACCTACTTATATACTAATTTAGAAAAGCAACTGAATAATTAAAACTAATAAGGGGATCAACAAAGTGGCCGGCAATGATAAGCAGACAGCGGCGCCGCCACTTGTTGGACCTGGTGCAGCAGGGTAATGAGGGCCACCATAATAATAATAGCCACCAGGATAATGACAGCCGCCGGGATAATAAATGCCACCAGGATAATAACATCCAAGAGGATACCAATGGCCACCAGGATAATAATGATAATAGCCACCAGGTAAATAATGGCCGCCGCCGGCAATCGAACCTCCGATAACACCGCCAACGATAGCGCCGCCTATCCCGCTTCCTGCACCACCAATTCCACCGCCCTTAGATCCTCCTCCACTGCCACCTACGCCCTTTGATGTGCCACCTCCTCCACCCACACCTTTTCCAACGCTGCCGCCGCCGCCGCTTCCTCCTTTTGTGCCACCACCACCACTCCGGAATCCTCCTCCGCCTTTTCCAAAGCCACCGCGAGCAAGGGCGGATGTCAAGACTAGACAAAGGATGGCAAGAACAAGCATAAATTTGGGAGTCTTACTCATGATGATCGCTGATCTCTTATGGCCTCACGTATATTTTCTCTTAAATTCTTAACGGTTTGCTTTGGTGATCTACTTAATTTGTGTTACTCTAAGAAAAAAAAAATGTCGATACACCATTGGGGTATATATATACCGGACTCGTGATACGTAATTCGAAGAACAGTGTGATTAGGTTTATGTGCAACATCTCCTTCCAGGAAAATAGTAAAGAGTGTTTTTTGACGTGAATAAATCATAATCCCATCAGTAATCAGGTTAATCTTTGTTTTATTGCGCGTTGTTTCCTTTTTGTTTCCGGGAAATTTCGACAACAAATTGAGGAGAAGAAAATTGTTGCGCTATATCTTTTGCATTTTCTTCTATTTTATTTTTTGGGTTTTATTTTATTTAATAAATTAAGGGTAGTAATTAAATTCCATATGGTCTAAAAATAACTTAGTTTTAACATTTTAATTTTGTTACTTTTGGCACAATGTTTCATATGTGTTTCCGATACAAAAAATCAATATGATTTAAAATTGTACATAATAATCCGGTAATGATAATTTATTAGTTTTTTTAAGATTGACGTGTCTAGAAATATTTATTAAATTGACTTCAATTTGAATTCTGATTACTCCAATTTGAACTCTCTTAGTCTTAAAAAAAACCTTGATTGTCGTACGTCCTTCCAATGTGCGGGTTTTTTTGAGTGCACAATTCCGGGCCAAGCGAAATTATTATTACTAATAAAAGAGTAAAAGAATGATCGATTCAAAATGAAATAAGTTTCTCTAATTCAAGAATGAACAAATCAATCAAAGAGAAACCGGCTTATATTGTCTTATAAGCTCAAACTTTTCTTGACCTTTAATACCAATTATCGATGCATAATATGCTAGTTTAGTTGTAAAAAATATATAACCTCCACATGAAGGTGAGTTTAGTTGGGAAAAAATAGTACTAACTAATATTTATTTACTAGTGCAAGATCCACGAATAGTTAGATATCGTCGACCAAATGCTAAACTCAATGACGTGTTGTTCCTTCTAGATTTTAGTCAGAAAAAGCTCCCAGTCTTCTAAATTTTAATCTTAAATACTTTGACCAACTGTCCCACCTATTGAGGTGCCCATAATTTAGTGAAGGGAATTAGTCACTGTTGCTGACGGTAGACACCCTGTAAATATGAAAAAAATAAGATAAAATAAAATAAAAATAAAATTTTGGGATATAGCTTATCTTCCTTGTAAAGTAATGCATAATACATCATTGCATGATATATTCACAAACTATAAGATTTATTACTGCAAGATTTATTCGCAATACATAAATGTTTACATGATCATCAAATTAATTCCTCTTCTTTACTTGGTGGACTGTAGATTTCGTCAAAAATTGCTAACCGCAATTTGAGGATCCAATTCAATCGAAATGGATGGCTTCCAAAACCTTGACAAAATCAGAACCCACAGAAAATATCAATATACATTATTTAAAAAAAAAATCCAACCGTAAAGTCTTGAATCAGACTATTTATCCTGTAACATGGAATGTTAGGGTCAAACACACTATAACGAGAATCAGAAATGATGTGAATGTGTTTTGATGATTTAAAAAAAAGCGCATACCAGTGAGAAAAAAAAAAAAAAAAAAAAAACCTTCTTGTAATTTCCCTATATATGTTAATCTCAGCGAAATTTACAAATTCGAATGAGTATCCACCCCCGTAGACAAAATTATCAAATCTTCGCAAGCTTTCACCATAGTTTTAGGCTTCAAAATCAGCTTGAAGATGTGATTGCAGTGCTTAAATTTTTCAGCATTCTTAATACACGCAAAATTCCAAATCTGCACATAACTCCTTTAGCTACACATGATCATAATTATTCAATCAAATCCTTCCTAATTGAAGCAGCAATCTTGTTACTTTGAAGATATTAAAGAGGATCAGATCAGGGAAAAGAAATAGTAGATTAATTACAAAAAAATTCAAAGTACTATAAGTGTAGCAAAAAATAAATTTTTTTTGTCCATGAAGAGCATCTTGCACATTTTGACTTCATCAATGTTATCCTAATTGGGTCTTTCCTAAACTTGACAAATTGGTAATTGACTTCTGATGCAATGAAAACCCGTCTTTTCATTCTAGGGAAAAGTATTTAGTTTACGGTTCGACATTGTTAGTGTTTAACAATGAGGTAGATCAGCATATATACCTACTTATAGTTCTTCAAAGTTTTGGCAATTAGGGTTTACTCACAATGATCAGCCCCAATATAAAGTTTATCGGAATTTAAATGATGAATTAATTTATTATTTAGTTGGGAAACCAGGAATACGAGTGTAAACACGTCTACGCATAAAAATTCATAATATTATGATTGATTAATCAATACATATATATATATATAGATTGTTTATGTTGGGTGAGTTTGATTGTTTTAATACTTTCTAATTTGTGTAATTTTATTCAAATTTTCAATGTGTATATTATGTGAAAATTTGTTGGTGATCACTGGAATAATAATTTTTAAAAACAAATTTTTGGAATAATTTTGTTTTAATACTCTTTGCACTTCCTCCATGATGCTATTTCTTCTTTGCCAACAACACAGGAGAAGCATATGGACTATCACTTGCTCGGGATGTGCCTTTCTTGAGTGTTTCTTCTACATGTGCTTCAATCTCACTCCATGTGAGCATAAGGGTAACTGTAAAGTTTCAACTTAAATAGTACATCACCATGTTTAAATGCACTGACCTTCTAGAAGAAGAGTGGTAGGTTCCTCAAAAACTCTAAAAAACTAAACCTCATTTAAGTCCCTGAGTAGCCACCTGCATTATAGCTTGTATCCAAGGAAGATGAACCTGCCCTAGGCTTGAAAGACAAGGCCAGAGTTTGCTCCTATGCTTTAGAAGTTTCAATTGCTCTGAGGACTGTTTGTGGCTCCACAAACCTAACAAAAGGCTTAAATTCCTCTTTCAAGAAACTAACAAAGTTGGAAACGAAGTATATTTCACTCAAATGGGGATCAATGCATAGCAGCAGAGACTTTAATTCCTCAAACTTGTCATGATATTCCTTAATAGAACCTGTTTGTGCCAACTTGTTGAATTCTTCCACAGGCTCGAAACCTTTTTAACAATTCAATCTCAAATAAGGACTAAGTAGTCCGAGGAAAAACTCTCTTGAAACTCTGGAATCATACATCAGCCTTTCCATTTAAGTAAAATTCTACACAATCTAACTTCTCTTTCTCATTCATCTCGTACATACGAAAGAGTTCTTGACATTTCGTCAATCAACTCCTAGGATTTTCCCCGTCGAACACTGATAGTTCTAATTTTCGCCTAGGTTTCCATCATTTTCTAAACAATTTGTTCTCATCAAGATCATAGCCAACCTCTACTTCATCTACTCGAGTTTTATGAGTGAATTTTTTAGCAGTAGAACTCCTCCTACTTTACCAGATATAACACCAAAAATAGAAGCTATAGAATGAGAAGTCAAGTTTTCACTAATAAGGCTACGAGAATCCTTCACTTCATCCAAAGAACGCTTGATTCCAGCAAATCTTGCCTCCAACACTGCAAATTTGTCTTGAAGTGCCTTAATTAGTGATGGCAAATCCGCTCGAAGTTTAGAGTGATTCTCATCCGTAATTCTTTCCAATTTCTCATGAAACTTAATCCGTAGGTTCGCAACTTGCTCCTTTGCTTCAACTGCCTGATTCGCAACGTGTTCCCCTTCTTTAATTTCCTTGTTCGCGGCTTGCTTAGATGCCATTTCTACCAACAAGCCAAGAATCGAATAGCTGTAGGTACCAATTGTCAGAATCGGAGTAGTTTTCCAAAATGTTTACGGATTTCGTTCGGAACTCCGGCCAAGAACTCAAAATAAATTAGAAAACAGCCATACTACGGTCATGGAGAATGGAAATTATTTTTGTTATTTTATAATTCTAATGAAACCTTCCTAACTATTATATTTCCTCTTATAGAGCTAATTGCGATCAAGTAAACTAATCCTGCATAAAAACAGAAAATGCATGCATGATAGCAGTAATTACAACTAGGAATGAGTAAATTGGTGGGTTAAAACCCTTCAACTCGCAAATGGGCATGCATGATAGGAACTTAATTAGGTCTATAATGTTTGCATGCTTGGAAGCCCATCACGAGTTGTTGGATGAGCTCTCTACCCCATTGTCAAAGAACGGGATCCGACAAAGTGGCTGCCAAATGAGCAATTCGACTTTCAACTCATGCATTTTAACCTGATTGATTCTTTGTAAAGCGTGATGGTATGGGCAGCGAGTATCTACCTAACCATGATTCACAATTTACTCATACCCAATATCATCTTCATCCTCGAACATTGCTAAGATATTTTTAATATTCACCTCTGAAGCAACTTGTTTACTCAACCATGGTCAAGTTTTGTTCTGACTCAAGTTTGTTGTTATTCATTAATCACTTGACATTTAATGAGTCAATTTCTGAATAATTAGACAAGTCATAAGATTTGAAACACATAAAATTGCCAATTTACGAATCATTTTATAATGATAAGATTAGCTTTGGGATTTAAGGTTGCACGATTTAGATGTTAATAAATATGAGTATTTCTATATTCTTATTTATTTATGAGGCATAAATTAAAACTAGAATTAACCAAAATTCATGTCATATTTATAAAACTCAAAAAAAGTACTTAAAAAGCTAAACCTTAGTCTGCTCGAGAATCAGTAAAGATTTGTTATGCTTTTTCCAAACTATACATTTCTCTTCAAAGAACTCTCGACCAATTGAAACTTTCAAACGTGTTGTACAAAAATAAATAAACAAATATATCCAAACGTGGATGCCATGTAATATCACCAATAATCAATTATTCTCTCCTATCCTTAATATATGGAATTTTGAGTTGTCATAGGATTCATCTAGTACGCATTTTTAATTGAAAAAAAATGTTGAAAATATATTTTTACATTATTGTGTTCTCTTGATTGTTATGAAATATTTTTAAGGTTTTTTTATCAATTAAAAATGTGTACTTTGTGAAATTTATGACAAATATTACAGACCGGGAGTAGCTTTTATAATACATTCCTCTCGTCTCATAAAAATAAATTTAGTACACTTTGTAAAACTAAAACAGAATAGCCTAATCAAGAATCACTAAAGTAAGATTTGTTAAGCTTTTTCCAGACTATACACTTGCCTTCGAAAAACTCTCCACCAAGTCGCTAATCGAAATTTTCAAACGTATCCTACCAAAATAAATAAATCCAAACGTGGATACCAAACAATTAATATCACGAGTATTTCAGTACAGCTTTCATGATACACTCCCCCGTTTCATAAAGTACTAAAACAAAGTGAAGTATGCTATTTTCTTAAGATATACTAGAAGATACAAGCTTTAATGCATGTTATAACTAGTGAACAACCATGGAGTATTTTACTATTTTTGTTCTTTAGCCTTTATTGTGCCTTCTCCTAATTATAAACCATGAATCCATCCATAGTTACAGATACACAAATTTGAACAAGGCTATGGCAATGCTAAACCTTTCATTTATTCAAGCATTTTCAAGTGATAAGTTCCTTTTTTATTTTTGATTGTAAAGTTTCTGTGAGTATTAGTAATGAGATATTATAAATCTATGGGAAACCCAACGGTTAAGTAAAAGTAAAAGATTGATATGAAAACCATTAATTTGGTTCTGTTGTAACTACATTTTTGAAATCAGATTCTGGTAATGTTAATTAATCGCCTTTATTGTATTTTGTTTTAGTTATAAACTAACACACTTTGGTCCGAACTCCGAAACATTTTACATTTCGCCTCTTGACTAAAGGTTGAAACGTTTTAACGAATTCAAAAAATTGATAACTCCTAGTATGCAAAATGGCTGTGATCTAAATTCGGAACCAAGTAATAGATTCAGAATCAAAAGCTAGTCAGTAAAATTTGGAAACATTGAATATAAGTGTTTAAAAGTGACATATTGTAGGCTTGCAGCTTCATTGATCTTGCTGAGGTTAATCTAAACACCTACGTGCGTGTTCATTTTGTTCTACTTTCCTCACTTTCTACCGACTGAGAAACATGAAAGAAAAACAACTAAATAATTTGCCACCTTCTATGTAAGTAGAAGCACTCTTACGAGGGCAAAAAGTAAAGGATGGGGAATAAATGTGAAAAGGAAAACAATATTTTCGCGATGACCATAATAAGCAATATGTAATTCCAATCTTGCTGACACTTTGCTACATCAAAACAAACAAAAACAACAACAAAATGAACATGATTAGTACCTAGGGGAAACCAAAAAGGCTCGACACGTTATCAAATTATAATAAAACAATATAAGTCTCTAATCAGCCACTGTAATCCCCTGTTGAGAACTTGTTCTCGGGATAAAAGACCGCAACCACCGGATTGCCCCCGAATTTCCGGCCATTCAGGCCATCCCGCGCTTTGGCTGCGCTCTCAACGTCGACAAACTCCAAAAAAACCCTACCAACCCCAGGTAAGAGTTTGCCATTTGGGTCGGGTCGGGGAATCACCAGGTTGACCAGAGTTCCGAATTTCCCGCACTCAAACCTCATATCTTCAACTATCTCCTGGTAATCCTTATCATTCTTGAGTTCTTCAATACTAAGAACTTCTTTGAGGCAGATGACCTTAGACGATCCAGCGCGATCTTGCACCAAAGCCCGATCTTGCTGAACGACAAATAGACGATTCAGCCCGACCGCAGCAAGGTTCAAGTTTGGATGTGGCTGAGTAGGACCAAGAGAGGCAGCTCCAGCCGGGTCGTAACCTGTGGGTCTCCCAACCTTAACGGATCCCCCTTCAAATAAAATCCCATCCAACGCCATTGCGTTGCTAGCTTCTTCCACAGAGCGCATTTCCAAGAACGCGAATCTCTTCTCACGGTTGAAGTAAGCATTCACAACGGCATCCCCGGGCCCGGCGCTGTTCCCGCCGATTTTACGCATCACCTGGCTGAAGAAAGCTGCCAGCGACGCCTCATTCGCCGACCGCGGAAGCCTGCCGACATAAACCAGCCGGGCGGGGCGAGTTGCCTGAACTGGCAACAGATTCACCGGCGTCATTGAAAGATCAGCTGCTGGAGGCTGAGTAAACTCAGCCGGCGCCAGGTCAAAGAGGGTTTTCCGGGATCTTTGACGGTGGTGCCGCCGGTGATAATCATGGTCGTCTCTGTCCCTGGATCTCCGACGATCTTTCCCATCCCGGCTACCACCTCTGCCGCTGCTACCCTGGTAAGCATCCGCCATTGTTTTCCTTGCTCTCACTTTCTCTATTTTTTTTAAAAAAAAATCTGAACTTAAATAGTGAAATGATAACCAGTACTGTACACTCAGCAGATTCACATAATCTGAAAATCATTAAAGAGTCCATAAGGATTTGTTTCATAGTTGACTCACCGGTGGATCAATGCGCGATGGTATTTCTAAACGACAAAGGCATGTCAGTAGCAAAAGCAAGTTTATGAGAGAAAACGTAATCAACCATAAAAAAATAATAAAAAAATTAGTCAGGCAAAGCTCTAGAAACCGCGACAAGCAATCAAAAAAAAATAATAAAAAAAATTAGTTGTGACTGTATGGTAGTTTGAGTCATTTTTGTTGATGAACAAATATTCCAACACCTTTTTAGGAAGTCAACTTTTAGTCAAGAAACACAATATATTTGCCAATTCGGTACTACAAATTTCCTCCTTACGACAGAACGCTCAACTTCTATGATAGAATCTCGAATTCATCCAAGTCGTTATCATATTAATTTCTTCAATCACGCCTTCAGTGGAAAGTAGAATCATCACCATTTGCACCTAAGAGTACAATTGCAAATTAAGTCTCATTCTGTTCTTCACCATAACTATAGTCCACCATCATTTACATTATAGCATGGGTAAAAGGAAAAAGGGTTTTTAAGGTGCATTCTAGCTGCCTGGGTATTCATTTCCTCCGGATAACATCCTTAATTCATAGCTAACTCTTAAAATATGAAGATGCTTAATTAAGATTTTCTAAACCACCAAAAAAAGATGGCTCAATGCATCTTAGCAATTCAAATGGATGTATTTCTATGAAACCCTCATAGGCTCTTTTAACATAGAGTGAGTCACATTTGTTTGCAGTGGCAAAAAAGTGCGTCCAAATTATTGACTTTAGTTTGTCACTTTCCAATTTTAAAGACCAAGGCCACTATTGGATTTAGGTTCTGGTGGTGGTTGGAGTGTGGCTTTCCGGTGTAGATTCGGCATAGATCCTCTATTCATTAGCTAGAATATATTACCGGTGATGTCTCTTGTAGCGAGAATGGCAGTTTATTCAACTGAAATTGATTTGGAGATGTTATTGCGGAAGGTGTATATTGCATGTAATCTGTGAATGGACAAGGTATTTGTAGAGCATTAACTTCGGACAACGGGTATAAAATGTGTTAAAAAAAATAAAATAATTAATCCATAATTCCAGTTTTGTTTAGCAAGCTCCAAACATTCAACTCGCCTAAGCCACATATTTTGAAAGAGAAAAATCCTCAGGTACATCGATCGGGTTATTTGTGGAGAACGGGTATATAAATTAGGATTGTGGTCGATCAAGATTGCACGATTAGATGTTAAATACTTCATTCAAAAAGAATTATTTAAGGGAAAAAAAAAAGAATGGAAAATTTTCTTTAAAGTCATACATGGGAGCTGATCTGCAAAGAATGACCAGAGGCATACTTTGGGAGGGGATACTTCAAGTTCAAGATGTACTGACCAGTCTAAGTCATATTCCAGCCTTATTTTTTAACTAAAACCCTAGCTAGTTTCTAATATTGCTACAAAGGGAAACTGCATATTAAAGAATCAAAAGTTTCAATGACTGCAAAAGAGTATCACGATAGTTAATTACAGCTTTATAACGGCAAAATTTGAGACTTGAAACAGCTACATCAATGTAACCATTACTAGTAAAGATTAACCATACAATTAAATAATACATAAACTATTAATCCATTCGCTCGGCAATAGAAAACCATTATCAATTCCATATCCTATAATCAGAACTACTCATAGGAGTATATATAATTTAGAAAATCAACTGAATCATTAAAACTAAGGAGATCAACAAACTGGCCGGCAACCATAATCCGTAGTCGAATGCGCCGCCACTTGTTGGAGCCGGTGCACCAGGGTAATGAGGGCCACCATGATAGTAATGGCCACCAGGATAAAGACAGCCGCCGGGATAATAGATACCACCAGGATAATAACATCCAAAAGGATACCAATGGCCACCAGGATAATAATGATAATAGCCACCAGGTAAATAATGGCCGGCGCCGGCGATCGAACCGCCGACGATAGCGCCGCCTATCCCGCTTCCTACACCACCAACTCCACCGCCCTTAGATCCTCCTCCACTGCCACCCGCACCCTTTGATGAGCCACCTCCTCCACCACCTTTTCCAACGCCGCCGCCGCCGCCACCTTTTGTGCCACCACCAAATCCACCACCACCACTCCGGAATCCTCCTCCACTTCTTCCAAAGCCACCGCGAGCAATGGCGGATGTCAAGACTAGACAAAGGAAGGCAATAACAAGCATTAATTTGGGAGTCTTACTCATGGTGATCGCTGATCTCTTATAGCCGCACGTACAGTTTCTCTAAAATTCTTAATGATTCACTTTGTTAATCTACTTTGTGTTACTTCCAAAAAAAACGATACTCGTTGTTTAATCGCTCGTTGTTTCCTTCTGTTTCCCGGGAAATTTCGTTGAAAATTTTGAGAAAGACGAAAACATTGTGCTACTAGATCTTTAGCCTTTGGGTTTTATGTTATTCAACAATTTAAAATATCATAATAACTAAAAGTGTATATGGTCTAGTGTTATATTAGATCTCTCGTCTTCTATTATAGTTCTCAATTACGAAGATGGTTAAGTTTCAGCAACATTTGCTTCCCAATAAGTGAGTGCTGCGTAAAATACATTCCACACAATTTCATGCAGCAGAATTTATTCTTGGTAAGTTTCCATTTATAATCTATTACTCTGTACAAAAAATGATTCTCATGTTTATATATAGTAGAAATGGTGTAAAATTAGATTATTATTTTGAGATGGAGAGATTACGGCTTGCACCAAAATTCAATCTAAATCATGAATGGTGCCAGAACCATCAATCTATGTCGGCAAAAGTAGTGCTCGATGTGTTACAACATATAAATGATTTCCAAAAGAGTAACGATATTTTTCTATACTTGTATAACTCTATTTATATTTCTACAGACATGACAATTCCAATTGGTACATCCACATAACCTCCAAAATATTCAATAATATTTTATTAAAAAAAACCCCATTGCTCATCGTCATATTTCTTCATGCCGATGAAATTGAATTTTCTCTCCTCAAGGATAACGTCTCTATGCCCTGACCCAAAATTATCATTTTTATCACAAATCCTCACAATACAAAAGCAGAACTTCGCCCATGATGCGCTCGCCGAAATATCGAAGAGGCATAGAAAGCCCGCGGTTATTGGGATTCAAGAGGCAGTTCGGTGAAACAGGAAAGGAATGATGGTTAATTTGTCATGGAAGCAGATTATTTCAGCAGCTTCGGAGTATTTGAAGGACAAATAATATTCTTGGAAATTGCAAAGCATAACCCCTGGACATCAAAAATTCCAAGATTCATCCAGAGTTGTGGGATAACCACTTTGGGACAGTGACTTTTATTTACCGACATTTTCTATCAATGACACTTTGCTTTTGGGGATCTATAATGATTAAGGAGCATATTATTTAAGCAATCAATTCTTTATATAAGGAAACATAAAGGATAGTACCTAAAATTCATGTGGCCTCTCAAACCCTCACAATTAATTAAAAGTGGTGCCGCACCGTAGATGGGTTCCGTATGGCAAAGATTGGTCCTTTATAGTATAGCTTTTCATTGATGGTAAGAACAAGAAGCTCAAAGTATTGGAATTCATAATATTAACGATGAATTTGATAAGCCTCTGGAGAAGGTAAAGCAATTTAATGTCGAACGATGGGTTTTTTTTATATAAAATATTATCGTAAATTTAGGAAGTGATGTCGTCATGTCAATAGAAATAAAATATAGTTATAAAAGTAGAAAAGAATTCTATTACTCTTTTTGGAATATAGCAAGTTAGAGTACTTTCGTGGTCATATTAAACTAACTTATTTGATCGGTCAATAAATATAAGCTATTCAGAGATTTGAAGATCCGTCATCAGTTATCGAGAGTCAAACCTTGGTTGAAACATGATATAATAGGTGTTACATATCCTAAAAATGTGCTAGTTTGATTTTAGGCTTTTAGCCTCTCTTTCTGTAACAAAAAAAAATAAATATAAGATATTAATCATGTTCTTAAAAAGAATAATACTGATGAGTAATGTAGGTAGTGACTTTTGGTGTACGAGATCATTTGCCTTTAGTTTCTGTCACGATGTGACTTTTTAGAGCGAAAAAAAAAATAATTAGATTTCAGAGGGTTTAAGGGAGCAAGGAAAGAAGGAGAGTAAATCAGCAGAAATTTGGAGAGAAAAGCAGATAAATCGGAGTGTAAGAACATTCATTTGATCGATATTTCCTTACAACTTTGTAACTCTTACTATTAAAGCAATCTAATAAAAATAAGTACCGGATGCACTTTTCGTCCCCCAACTTTTGGCGATAGTAAGATAAAGTTATAATTTAGAGATAAAGTTTTGTCTCATTTATTGCGTTGGGAACAAAAAAAAGGAAAAAAATAAAGAAGAACGCAAGATGTGATCAGTCAATTAATCACCCTCAATATCAACACATTTAAAGTAGTATAACAGTCAACAGTCAAGTGTATTATAGTATTCCAACTTAGTTTGGATTTGGATAATAATTAGCATTTCAACCCAAAACCAAAAGTAAATAATTATTCATTCCTACGTGAGAACATATAGAAATGAAGGAAAGGGCAGCACACCAAGATTTTTTGTAGATGGTGTCAACCTAGCCCTACTCACCAAGGACATAATGTCATAAATAGTTGAATCGTTGCTCTGTTTATTGTTATATTTCTTTCATCTCGAAATGATAGTCTGTTTTGAAATTTTATTTTTAATTTTAATTGTATTAAAAATAAAATTTAAATTGGATAATTATTTTGGAACTATAGAAGACTTTTTATTTCGATGCCAATGAAAAGCGAGTCAACACTTAACGAGTCAACGCTCAACTGCTCATGTTAATTATGTTTGATTATTCGTGTCTTGATGCCTAGGGAACCCCTGCTCCTTCCACTTGTTCCAGTTGTTCACTTGTTGTCTTGTTCGTATATTCACTGTCTGATCTAAATGCAAATTGATTGAGTAGCTAGACTAGGCTTTTCCTGGGCCGCGTGGGATCCTTGGTCCAAATGACCCAATTTATCAACTAATCATGGACCAAAGTTTCCCAGTCTGATTGAAACGTGGCCCATATTAGTACAATGACGGAACCAGGATTGAGCATTCAATTATAATTGAATTGTTTGTCAAACTTTGTGTAGAAGTTATTTCTTTAAAAAAAAATTGCAGATTGCTTTGTCAACCCTAGTTCCACCGCTGATAATATTCATTCCGATCATAAAATAATTTAGCTTGTTATATTCATTTTATTTTAATGAAATGAACTGCTCTTTTCGGTCCTTATTACAAAATATTTGATTTGTTCTATAAATTTCACCTAGTATGCTTTTCTAATTCGAAAAAAAAATCTAAAAAAATATATACTAATAATTAAAAGAACACAATACATGTAAAAAATAAATTTTTTAAAAAGTTTTCAATCAAAAATATATACTATTAAGTAAAATTTAGTACAAATCAAAATTAAAATGTGTCTTGTAATAAAGATCGGAGTAAGTATTTTTTTTTTCTTAGGGTGGGAACCATATCTCATGCATGGGTTGACTCCAAGCCACACTGGCCAAGTTCTCTTTCTCACAGCCGCCATATATGATCATTCAATGAGTTGACTGATCTATTCATTAGATGGCATATGGAGAAGATTTTTATTAGTCAATTTTGACTCGGTCCCAGAGAGATCTTTTCAACCTACTTTACAAGATGCTGATTTTTATTTTTATTTTTTCCTATTCCAAAAGCAGTGTATCTTCTTCAGTCTTTTGTTTCATTGTTCTTCTCATTGGTGAACTTTTTGCAACTTTTCATTGCGGTACAATGTCCATGAAACTTCGAAGGTATAAGATTGTATCCCTTCTGTTCAAGAAAAAAAAGAAAAAAAAAAAGCAGTCTAGTTTTACAAATAGATTTTTAAAAAAAATTGTTTAGTTTTAAGGGAAAAAATAATGATGGATTAGTGTTTTACTACACAAATTATCATCATATTAAAATTTAGTAAGAGTGTTTGGATGGAATGATAACGTTAGAGATTGATATTACTATATGACTAAAGTTGGTTAGTGTAAAACTAAACACAAGTTTTGCAATAAAACACAATTGTCATTAACTATATAGAAAGCAATGGAATCATTATACAGTTGAGCAATCGAGGTATATTATATTACAAGTTGCTGTTCCTTGCACGTAACATAAACATTAGTAATCTAATCATTTCCCAAGGTAATTGTTGCACTCGATCTTGGTCCATTGTCCAAGTGGAATAAAAAAAAATATTCTATTCTATCTTCTTTGTCAGTTATAAACAAATCACAAACCAAAGCGTAGCCGTTAATCCAATTGACAAAAAAATGTTAAAAAAAAAAAAATCCAACAAAGAATCTTGTCACCAGTGAGAATCTCCATGTCCTGACCCGACAACCCGTATGTTATTCTTTCATGCATACAGATTCTACGGCTTGGAAAAGCGTTTCGAATCGCCGCATCCCATGATAGATTGAGGCAATCTTCCAACCTTTTCGATTCCTTCTTCAAACACAACTCCCATACCCATGAAGAAATGGGATTCAATATGGCAATGGAAAGCCCACACACCCGGATTATCCGCCCGGAATCTCAATGCGGTCCAACCATAAGGATGAACCGGAACCGTGTTCTTCATAATCGGGTTCACAAGGTTATAACTCTGAGGATCCGTAGAGATATTGAACTTCCCGGATCCGTACCCGAGTACCCAGAAATCATGCCCGTGAAGATGCCACGGATGAGTCTCACTGTTATTCGGGTTCATGGAGTTTGCATTCTGCAAGATCACATCAACAACAGAATTGAACTTTAACCGGTAAAGGGAGTTGCTGGTCGTCGCGTTGGTGTTATTCTGGACGACGAAAATGTCGTATTTCGCGGCGTCGTACCCTTCCGGCGGCGGCGTTTGATCAAATGCGTGCAACAATTTATGTTTCAGGGCAATCAAGTAAGGCGTGGATGGCAGACTGAAAGAAACATTGTTGACCGACCATTTAACGTGCCCGTTGATCCTGTTTTGGGTGTTGAGCAACACGATAACCCGATCGGATGTCGCCGGAGGCGGGTGGATGTAGCCTTTGAGTGCTTTAATTGCGAGACTTTGGGCTAATCTGGGAGGTTTATCGTTCCAGGCCGGGCCGGCCGGAGGAATCGACGGCGGATTTCTTGACGGATGGTTTGGATAATAGTTGAAAATGCCTAATCCGTTTGGAGTTGTCCTGTTTCGGCCCACAACAGCTGCAGCCATCCAGTAATTCCTTGTAGGGTCTTGGTCGGCTTTCACTAAAACAGAGTAAGTCTCCCCTGAGTAGATGAATAAGTTTTTCACTACAAATGGCTCCACATTGTGTCCATCAGCTTCTACAACAGTCATATTGTGGCCCTGGAATGAAAGAAAAATTAAATATCATTAGTTAGTACAATTAGACCGTTAAACAGTTCATCGGACAATGTCTAATTAGTCTTTGATTTGATTGATTACTTTAATGTCGTAAAATGGGAACATAAAGGGTGTTTTGATGAATTAAAAAAAAAAAGTGCTTGACCAGCTGGAAAAGCATGTGCTTTGTGACGAACATTTTTGTGCAATTTTTTCTTGATCAAAGGAAACCGCACATGTGCAGGATGGTAACTGTCTACTAGTATGTCTGTCTTAACAAAATCATTCATATTGAGTTTCAAAATTTTGTACGGCTTTCCGCATAAATCTCAAAATTGAATTTGGACTATTTTTTATTTTTTATTTTTTTTGGCCGGAGGAAGGAAATCGTTACCAGTACAGTTAAATAATCTACCTCGATTTCGAAGCTCAACGCGGAAAGACTAGTTAAACTTCCGATTCTCAGCCGGTATGTTTTCCCCGGCACGACGGTTAACGCAAGAGGCGAACATTCTGGATTTGTAGCATTGCATACGCCTGCTGCTGTCCCCGGTGTGCTGCAATTGAACTTCCCTTTCCCTCCGAGCAGAATCGACTGTAAAAATTTTGATCCCAAGACAAAAGCAGATTAGCCTTTTTGGCGATAAATTATGATAGAAAGAAAGATAATTACTGTTGGAGAATTTGGGGGAAAAAAAAAATCTCCTTTTTCTTTACCTGAGGTTCACCAACCCAACCAAAAGGAATAGAATTGAGTCCAACAGAAAGTTCATATGAACTCTTGTGGTACCAATCAGTGAGGAGGAGGTTTCGGTCATAATCGTAGTAGTAAGGCTCAGTGACATTATCAGGAAGTGCAACTTGAATCATTCCATAAAGCCCAGAACCTTTTTGCATTCCATAATGAGCATGATACAAGTAAGTCCCTGGCTGCAAGAAAGAAGAGACCAAAATTTCTGTTATTAAAAAAAGAAAAAACTGAAGAATCTGAATCAAATATCAAAAGGGTTGTTTTCTAAGATGTCAGATAACTTACTCTGTCAACAACAAATCTGTACTGGAAAGTATCTCCTGGAGCAATTGGACATTGAGTAACTCCCTCTGTTCCATCAGCCCAAGGGGTTCCAATCTGCAGTTAGAAAAAAAACACTGTTTTTTAGCACTTACTTATTTTACAGTCCAAAACAGAATACTATGCTATTGAACTTTATTCTTCTTCTTCTTCTTTGGTAATTTATACCTGTCGAATTCCATGCCAATGAACAGCAACATTCTCTGTTAACAAGCTGTTTACGAGATCGACGACGACCGTGTCACCTTGCTGTGCGTAGATGGTTGGCCCGGGACTTTTACCATTAATGGTAATCATGAGCTTTTTGAAGCAATCAGGCGATTTGTACTCATATTTCACCTCGAATTTGTAATACCGGACTTTGGCTTCCGCCATTGGGACTACAGAACAAGTTAGAGAAAGCAGAACCAAAAACAGAGCAAATCTTAACATGGTAGTTCTAATGTTGGCAAAGCCTCTGCTCTTGAGAAGAAGCCCAGCCATTTTTCAATCTGATTTCTCTCTTCTAAATCAATCAAACCCGACAAGGTATTTTTGGATGTCCAAACCAAACTGGCTCTAGCTCAGTGATCCAATTGGAGTTGGTTTGGCATAGTTTTTCTGTCAGATCCTTATATAGATGTACGAGAAAAGTTTCCTAAACATGTAAAAGACGACGAAGAGATTAGGAAGTTGCCTCCCTCGTTGAATAGTTTAGTGGGTAAGACTTTTTCTTTTTTTTCTTTCCTTTTGTTTTACGAGTATTATGACTTTGTTTAACCTTTTGAATGGGTGTGACCTCTAACTAAGAACAGAGAACAAATCAACTGAACACAGGAAAATATGTGTTGTTTTATGATAATATGTATGTACATAATTTTGTAACTCTTTTTTTTTTTTGACAGTGTAAATTTTGTAACGTTATGGGGACTCTATTCTCCTTGGAGATTTATTTTATTTTTTCTTTTTTAAAAAAGTACCTGGTACTAAGTTATTACATCACATATGGTTATAAGTTAACTTGTGCATTTCTACCGTATCCTGTCTACTTACTTTAGTCAATATACAAAAAGCAAAGGAAGAAATTAACGTATTTAAAAGTAAGAGGACTTCTCCTGAATCCTTGGAGATTAGATTAGAGTCCTTACAGTCAAAATGTATTTCCCCAAAGAAAATAATTTGTTTCTAGTGATGGAGCTAGAATTTAACTAAAATGGCGCAAAAATGTGCCAAATTGTTTTGGAGGGAAAACATATGTAAAAAATATTTTACATGGGCAAAATTTTAAATTTATACAAATTTAAAGGGTTTTTCAATTATTTACACTACAAGTATTTTACTTCGGTTTTCTTTAGTACTGAAGAGAACTCTAGAGATACAATCTGTCGATCGCGGTTTTAATATTCAGACTTTATAAATTTATTTATAATTTAAATCCATAGTTTTTTTTTGGGGGTGTTCAGCATTTGGTGACAGGGTTTGAGACTAAAGATGATTGATACGTAAAATGATTAATATTTTAAACTTTAAAGTAAGTTTACATTATTACTTAAGTATAACAAAAAGGTTGTTATTGATTACCGGAGTGCGTTCATCGCACCATGTCAACAAACATACGTAGCTCCCTTTCGCATACCAAGAGAAATTCCATATTTTTTGGGAACTGAATGACTATGATGCCATTTTAAGAAAGAAAAATGATATATTATCTGTCAATGGATTGTTGTACTGAGCTTTTTTTAGTACAATTTTTACATCTGATTTTCGAAACCACTATATCTACTAATTCAAATTCAGCCAAGGAAGTTACTCTTGCCAATCAAAATTTTCCCAACAGAGATTTTTATTACCAATACATGTTCATAGTAAAGTTTAAACTCGAACCAAAATTAAATTGTTCCATAGATATGATACCTTTACTATTGTTTGTATAACTCTGTTTGGACGAATTTTTAGTTTGTATTTTTAAGTGTTTTTTTATATTAAGATGTTAAAAAAAAGTATATTAAAAATATAAAAATAAGATAAAACATTTATTAATACAAATTTTAGAAAAGACCTACCAAGAAAATAACCAAACATAGGTGCTGCTTGATCTTGTTGTATTGAACTGTTTCGAAGTAATGCAATGTTTCAATCTAATGATTTAATAATATGGGTTCGCATTACCATGGGTGCGACGGAACCGCGTGGTCATAAGTCAAAACTAGATATTATCAAACAAATGTCAAAAAGATTTGCCACTAGATATATTAAAAAAGCAGAGAATAGAACATGTCAACATGAAATCCTCCATCACTTCTGGACCCGGTTCCTTATCTCAGCTAAAAAGAAACAAAAGAAACATGTGATCGACAGTGAGAATTGGGCCCCTGATCTTCTCAAATTTAACAAAAAGCCACTATCATTGCTAATCTTTACTAATTTGAATATATTTGTCTTGATTGAAAATGCATCAAGGTAGTTGGTTTTTTGTGTACCATTTCAAGTCTTTATGTTTCTATATTTATAGAACTTGCGGTGTCATTTCGATTGAATTAGTTAGAGTAATCGATTAAAAAAGGGGGGTTGAAAAGACCCTTCATCATTTTTTTAGAACATAATTTTGTTCTTGTCATTATGATGTTTAAACGTGTTATTCAGATAAGAACACTTATTGGATCAAATGGTTAAGAACTTGCGTTAAATATATATGCAACATCTTGAGTTTAAATCTTATGAATGGAAGAAAGGTGGTTAACAGATCACAATCTTCATAGAGTAGTAAAATCGAGAGAATGAGGTTGGTGGATTGTTTTCCCCTTGCTGCTTAAGGAATTTCAAGTGTAGATGAAATTTTGTCAACCTGTTGGATCACTTTTGGAATGGAGATAATAAAAAAATATTCAAAATTAGACATTAGAACTTAGTACTCCTTTTTTAAAAGAATTAGGAGTGTTAGAATAATTTGTATTAAGGGCATAATCATTCAACTAAACAAACATGACTTAGCATTTAATATAGATTTTATTTCATTTGCTTTTTCAACGTACATCAATTAAGGTTTATTTTCTAAGTAATATAAATAATACTTTAATATTTAAATATTATTAGTATAGAAAAACAGAAAACTTACATGATTAAAATATATATTACTGTTAACTCAAAATAAGGTTTGATATTTCATAATTTCTAAAAGGAGATTTTACATTTTTTTTTGTTTTTTTCTTAAAAAAACCTCACTTTCACGTGAACTGAGACTTAAAATCATCTCTTTTTTTTTTTTTATCAAAACCACATACTTAAAAAAGTAAAAAAAATAAAAATAAAAAATAATTTCAAGAATTTAATCACATATTTTGTATTTTATGAGAGTGAAAATTAAAATTTAATAATATAAAAAAGTTTATGCCTTCAAGTTTATTAAGTTGATGAAATATACATATATGTAATTATTTTAACCACTTTAATATTGTTATTTTAGTCATATACACGTAAAAAATAAATAGGATACACTTTCATAATATTTAAATAAATGTAATTAAAAATTTTTTAATTGTTAAAGTTATGTTTGTATGATTGACTTGTTATGCCCTTAAAACAAATTATTCAAAAGTTTTGCTCTCTTTATTAATTATTTTTTCTCCACTGCTCTTCATCTAAATTTTCCTAAAATTTTTAAAAGAAAAGGCAAAATGAAAAGCATAGTATGAGAGTGTCTACTTAAAATTATCTTGTAATTAAGCCAAAAAAAAAAAGATATATCTCAAGAAGAAAAGGATCTAAAAATTAGGGTTAATGCGGAAGCCATTAATGCGTATAATCTTAGTCTGAAAATGTACTGTATTAATGAGTAATCTTGATAATAATTATTTAGTACGATGATTAGCTTATATACTAATTACAACTGACCTAATATGTTGTAAATGTACAATTATGCCCTACAATATTTACATAACTATCATGCTACTTTGAGTATATACAAAGTGCCCCTTCAATCCTGTAAATCTATATACACTATATAAATTACTGAGGAGCAGCTAATGACTTAGTGAAGCAGTCAGCAAGCTGATTCATAGTAGAAATATGATGCAGCTGAAGGAAGCCAGTTTTGTAGTAATCACGAACGATGTGGCAATCTATTTCGAGATGTTGGTGCGTTCGTGAAACACTGGATTCTCAGTGGTGTGTTGCGCAGCTTGATTATCATAGTGAAGTGGAATAGGCAGAGAGGCCTGAACGTGAAGATTGTGAAAAAAAGTAGGAAATCCACTTGAGTTCACAAGCTGTACTGCCAAGGCTTTGATATCCTGCTTCAGCAGAAGAAGTTGACATAGTCTCTTGTTTCTTGATTTTCCAAGAGACAAGACATCCTCCAAGGAATATACAGAACCCTGATAAAGACCGTCTAGTAATCTTGCAGGTGGCCCAGTCTGAATCAATATAGGCTACCAAGTCAAGCTGGTAGATGAAGGATAATGAATGCCTTTTGAGGGACAACCTTTCAAGTATCTCAAGACGTGGATCAAGGCATCCCAGTGTGCTTCACGGGGTGCCTGTGTATGTTGAGTTAGTTGTTGAACATCATAGGTCAAGTTTGGACTAGTAAATCTAAGATAAAGCAGCTGACCAACAAGAGTACGATAAGCAAAAGAATCCGGAAGCAATGAACCACAATGATCATCATGTGGAAAGGAATGACCTTTAGGAAGAGGTGTGGCATGTGGTTTACAATCTGTAAGACCTTTTCTGTGGAGAATATCCATCACATATTTTTTTGGTTGAGATAAAAACCATCCTCGCTGCGAGCTATTTCAATGCCCAAGAAGTATCTAGTTCGACCAAGGTCCTTTATAGTGAAGGCCTGATGCAGAAAATTCTTCACTGCTAGGATTACATCTTCTGAGGAACTGGAGATCAGTACATAATGTACATAGACTAGGAGAGCCAAGAAATGCCCTTGATGAACCATGGTAAACAAACATAGATCACTGTAGGACTGATATAAGCCAAACATCTTTAATTTGGCAGCAAATTCAATAGTTTACTTTGAGTTTACTGTGTGACTGATGTAAGCATGCATGATAAGTTTACACAGTCCGTCCCAGAAAAATTGTTTATTTTGAATTTAGAGACTTGTATTGTTTTGAACAACATATCTCAAAACTTTTGGACTATTTTTTTAGGATAGAGTGAGTACTAATATTTCATCAAAGAGAAAATACGGAAAGGAAAGAGATCAACAATGATATAAAGTAGTATTACTTACAGACCTCTATTCAGATTTCCCGAATCCGGCAAAGTTTTATTATGTGACGAAATTTGGAGGAGAAAGATGATCATCATCGCCATTGAAAACAGGATGCTTACCAAACCGTTGGTAGATATACGGGCCATTGATGAACAAATTACTGTTAGTGTTCATCAACTTAATTGATTGTGTGAGCTCTTCCTTTTTTATATGCGAAAAGTACTGCTTAGAGGTAAGCCGAATGATTTGACAACATTGTTCGATTCTTCTTCTTCTTGGTCCACATGAAAAAGCAATACCGAGTAGTACAAATTTCTCTAGCAAAAAAAAAGGAATTTTGTAACTGAACTTAGCTAGTGGAGTCAAATGTAAACTACTTTTTCGCGATGTGAAGTGGGGAATTAATGTTGTTACAATCATAGGCACTAAAATAAAATAATGCGGCCGATTAATAAAATTAGATATTTATTCTGTCTCAAAGAAAGTACACATTAAGAGTTATATTATTTTTA